AAATAACACATTCCCACATTATCCAATGATATTTAAAGGAATACAATTTCATTGTTTTAGACCCAAACAATATCATGCTCCATGAAACAAAACGAATTAAGACCCCCATCCCCCAAAAGAAAACCAAAACCAAAAAGCCAAACATTTTCAACCCATGAAAGCATCCTGCTTAGTGAAGTCTTTAAACCCTACAATTGTAAACACTACACAAACACAGCTACAAAGCATGCACGCACGCACCCAAAGGGTAAACTGAAAAAAATAATTCACTGTCCAGAAGAACGAGCGGGCCCCAAAATAACCTTACTCAATACTCTAACAGGCCTTATTCCATTTGAACAACAACCAACAAACATTAAACATTGTTTGCTTGCCAAATATGATTATATATTCAGCCATTGAAAAATGTGTATATTCTGTTTGTGTGACATCAACCACTGACTTCACATTAACAGCAGGCCCTCTGCTATTTCTGCTGGCTACAGGCCAAATGGGCAGCATTAAAGTCAACCCTTCATACATGTGTTAGTGTCCTTTGCCAGCTAAATCTCACCAACGACACATCAACGTGAGTCCATGCAAACACTCAAAATACCTCTGACATTTGCACACCACAAATATGTATCCCCATGGCACGATCAAATTTGATAATGTGAGATATTATGTCTTAAATTTCCGAGAACCTTTCCATAAACATCCCCTTTAGACACAAATGGCAGAAGAGCATGTCTGTTTGCAGTTGCACATCCTCCCAGTAAATGTCTTCGTGAGCGTGTCTGAATCACGTCTGTGGGCGAGATTCCACAAGGCAGGGATGTTTTTGTAGTTTCAATGTAAATTATATACTTACAGCATACCATGGGTTTATGAATGTCATATTTGCAATATTTGCCAGTCTAGGTTTGAGATCTTATCAACAAACTTCTTTAATAAATCTTCCTGTGTCACAAAAAAGTTTGAATTACGGAGTAAAGACTGACATGTTTTGGCTAATGTGGGTAATATTTTCAGTGTTCATCCACCAAGAAGATAATTGTGCCTGCACGTATAAATCTTGTTTGTTTATTATTACATGCTCTTAATTTGCAAACCTTTTTCACAATATAAACTTCCAAAAATGACACAAATACTTCTGTTTTGCTTTGAACCTGTCTTCTAAATAGCATATTTGTGTAATTATGCACCATCAATTACTTGACAAATAGACAGTTTTCATTTGTTACTGTTGGATAGCAGATGATGCTTTTGTGTAAGACATATGGATATTTAATGAACAAGTCATGAGGCCAAGTAATCACCAATAGCCCTTAAAATACTGTTGTACATGATACAAGGGTCGTTCAATAAGTTTTGCAACTTCAATATGAGACCAAGTTGCAGAATATCTTTTGCACTTTTATTTTTCAATATAATCTCCATTCACCTCAATACACTTACTCCATTTGTCCTTCAAGCTTTTAATACCACTTTTATAGAAATCCGCAGATTGGCCCTCTAACCACGCCTCTGTGGCAGCCTTTACGTCCTCGTCATGTAGGGCAGATTTCATTTGCCGGAACAGGAAATAGTCACTGGGGGCTAAGTCTGGGCTGTACAGTGAAATCACCCAACCTTGAGTCCAGACTTGGCCCCCAGTGACTTTATTCTGTGACTTGGTCTTATATTGAAGTTGCAAAACTTATTGAACGCCCCTCGTATCATGTACAATTTGAATATGTTCTTTGAAATGTTATTTTTGTGATGGAAAAAATGAATTAGTATCTGTGAATTATGCCTGATGGAGTCAAGATGTTGAGAGGATGGAACAAAATCAGTAATAGTTGCCACTAGCCAACCTGGACTGTGTCCAATAGAATATTAGTCCTCACTCATTTGAACTAGCCTGGGGCTAACGGAATAGCATTTATTTCCCCTGCTGTGTGTAGAGAGTAAGTGAGAGTTGGGTTTCCCACCGCTTTAAACAGTATTCCAGTTATATCACAGCGTGTCAGCTTAATGTGGGAGGAAAAGTGATGCAGGTCTCAGACGTTTACCACTTTGGTGAAACCCACAAGCACAGGTATGGTGCTGACAAACCTAGAAACATAATCAGTGCAATCCAGGATTCAAACCCACCATCATAGGTTTCTGGCATGCTCAAAGGATGCAACTCTCCCAGGCATATGAAAAACTTGGTTGTAAATTACATGGCCAATATATCATAGTACTGAACAACCCTTCCTTTGAAATTTTCTCCTTTTCGATTTTTTTCTAACAAACAGGAAGAGCAATGAAACCTGTGATTTTTAGAACCCTCCCACCCTCCATGTGTGATGACTGATGAGCTGGTTTCATACCAAATTGCTATGTAGTTGAGATATACCATGTCTGTTCAGGTTAATATTGGAGAAAAGCCTGACGGGATGCTGGTTTTAGACATTTACCACTTTGGGACCAACCATTATCAAAATCAGGACAATTGTGGGATTCAAACCCATGATCATTTGATGTTGGCACATAAGGGACACAACTCACACTGCAACATAGCTAATAGCTTCGCCTTAGACAACATGGGCACTTAACTAAAACATGACACTTCCTCAATCATTCACAGAGTAAAGATATATTTAACAGGGCCCAATTTAGCTCTACAAAACATGCACAAGTACAAACTGTTATTGAGAAATGCAACTGTATATTTATGTCTATATGCACCAAGTGCATGTCTAACATTTTCAAATTTGTTGTTTATTTATCTCTGAAGTCTTTTTACCATACTACATCACTAATCCCTGCATGTGTTCCATGTGTTCCGTGTAATTTGTCATGCTTTTTTAAGACTTGATGTCATCTAACTGTGGATACTTCAAGATGATATGCACATGTTCCTGTTATGTTTTACAGCAATGGGTCTTTAATGTATGTGACACTGGCAGCAGATTGGCCTATGTGTGTGTATGTGTGTATGTGTGTGTGTATGTGTGTGTGTGTGGGGGGGGGGGGCATAATCAGATTTTTCAATATGGCTGCTGTCAAATGAGCTGCAAAATGGGAAGATTCTAATGTTCCTATTACATCATATGGGGAGGTGTTCTTTTTGTGTGTACTTCTGGATATACTCACATCTCAATCAATCATAGGTCCCTAATTATGAACACCCAACTCGCCTGCCCTTGATGCCATCTGTCAGCTCGCTGCAACAAGGTTGCGACCACATCAAAGTCTCGTTTCTGCTTCCTTCCCACAATGTAATGACCTTGGAAGTCCCAGGCATCGTGCCTGGGTGCCTGTTATGGTTTAGTTGTGAATTAAGCTAAATGATGTGTTTTTCTATCAAACACCATATGCATGCATCACTGTCTGCCATCTGTGGTCAATGGAGTGAGCACATATCTATGTCAGCATGGGAACACAACATGAAACTGACAAGACAGAGTCATCCATATCCCCAAATCTTCCTTGCATGCTAACAATTGAAAACAAATCATTTTGATTTCTGTAAAAATGATAGGCACCAGTCCTTACTAGCAAATACATTTGCAAAGTTTCATGAGGAGAAAAAAACTTGGAAAAGATACTTTTTAAAATTCCAGAAGAGGAAAGCACAAGTACAGCACTTGCCTGACGTATAGGCTCTTGAATATATGAGAACGCTTCAGTGGTCTAGTGGTAGAGCATCTGCCCGGAGAGTGGAAGGTATGGGTTCGATCCCTGGTTGTGTCATACCAAAAGACGCTAAAAGATGGTACTTGTTGTTACCCTGCCTGGCACTCAACATTAAGGGGTTAAAACAAGGACTGGTCGGCTCAGAGCCAGTATACTGTGTGTGAGTTGGGTATTCATGTTAACTGCGGCATGGTATCTCAGGGGGCTAGTACTATAATCGACATTAGTCTGGACTAGTACAAGAAGCTACACACCCAGAGATACAGATGCATTTCTTGCATACATGATATGCTCTTGAAATGAACCCTAAACTTATACGAGCAATCACACACACACACAAAACAAGGGCCACAACTTGGTAACTATTAATAATTCCTTATGGCAAAGTCAAACTTCATAACAAAGCTCCCACTTCATGATGTATTCAAAGTGTCATCTTTGTTTACTGTATTAGAATAGTGCTATGATCAGTATCATGTGATCTGTCGTACGTTTTAGATACTTGCAATTCATAAGTATTCATAATGAATGCTCCCATACATGTCAGCATGCATAATGTATGTGCATTGGGCGAGGAAATTGGCCTTCCTCTTTGAGCGATGATATGAATGAGTCAACACCAAAATACAACAATCTATAGTGGTTTCTGGGAAATGACAGTACTGTGCACCATGTTTAAAAGCAAAACAACGGCCATAACATGTATTTTCAATAATGGGTTTCAAACCAGATCAACATATTTATCCTGTACTGCTGTAAGCAAAATGTCATCCACGTATCTTTAGCAGTTTACAAGGAATCTGTATCAATTGGGGTACAGTGCACAAAGTCTGAAAACATCAGGCAAGGGCTATAACTCTGTAAAATATTAATCCCAAATGTTGGGTTTCAACCTTAATCTAACATATGTATTCCTGAATGATGAATGCAAAATGTCATCCTGATTTCTATGACACTTGTCCAATTGGGTGACCTGTGCACATTGTCCAAAAGATCAAACAAGAGCCATAACTCTGTAAAACATAGACAGTTTTCAAACTCGATCATATTTTTTTATCCCTTAAAATGTCATCCTTGTATCCAGAGCTGTTTCTGAAAATAATTGTCACATTGAAGTAGGACAGGAAGGGCAGACAGACAGAGCACAAATATCCTGCTCCACTTTATGGCGGGTGATGATAACACATAAGGCCATAACATATTAATTATAATATTTTCATCCCTGCCTGCATGAAGTGAAGATGACAGCTGACCAAAGCATGCCAAGCAATCCCTTTGTCTAAACTAAATTACCCCAATAGTTTGTTGACAACCCAGTGACCTTGACGATGGAGGTACGTGACAGACATACTGACCAGGTTCTCACTGATGAGCTTGGATATCACAACATCATTCTGGGGTGAACACAACTGGGCCAGAACTTTTGGGTCTTGCAGATTCAGCTTTTCAAATCTATCCATCCAATCAGATTTAGCGTCTGGAGAGAAGACTGTGTCAAACAGCAAGCTGATTGGTCGAAAGTCCTGCTCCCTGTCCATTGGAATGTCATGGTCATCCTGTGGACACCGGCAATTCTTACATACCTTTCTGCAAGAAATATAATCAAAGTCATAAACTGGCATTTGGCTACAGGATATATTTTTTGTCAGAATTAAGAAAGATTAGTAGGTCTGTAACAATTTTGTTTTGTTTGTTTGTTGTTTAACGACCCACAAAGCAATATTCCAGCTATATGACAGCGGTCTGTAAATAATCAAGTCTGGACCAGACAATCCAGTAATTGACATCATATGCATGTGTAGCAGGGTATGGAGTCATCCCACAGGTGACATCCTAACCTTGTCAGCTTGCAGACAGGGTTACCCTCTTCGGTCATGCGGACAAGGCGTCCGACCTCGGATCAGAAGGTCCGTGGTTCGAATCCCATCATGGGACTCGGAAATTTTATGGCCGCTACACCACTAGTCGCCTCTTACGACAAGCATGGGTTGCTGAACACAAATTCTAACCCGGATCAAAATACAATCTGGATATTATTAGATCTTTTACACCTGTATGCATCATCCCTAGGCAAGGGAGATAACTGACTATACAATTGCAAGGCTTAATCGTAGTGCCACCTGTGGCAATTAAGAGTTATCCCTTCTATGTCCCTCCTATTGACCAATCAGATTCCACCTCTCATATCACATGGATTTGCTTCATACAAAACGGTGGCACCCAGGTTAGATAACCTCATCGATAATCAAGATCTATATTGTAATAGAGCAGGTCTTACCTCAGGAAGTGCATCAAATGACCTAAGCACTTCAATAAAAAGCATGAAGCAATTTGGAAAATATCTGTTGATGCCCAGTTGACAATACACATGCATTTCAAATACTGCAGTTGACCAAAATCTACATGCTGAAATCCACGTTGCTTACGAACAGGATGTCTAGTTTGTTATACAATTTTGATTGGACTATGCATAGACTCGTTAGTCCGGTAAATAAGTAACTCCAGAATTCCAGTTATGTTCGGCAAGGGTGGAAACTGGACTTTTACAGTCAGTTAACTCCCTTGGCTCGGGAAGATGTCCCATATGATACCTGAAGAGGATTGTTCGACACCTCCACAGAAGATCGTCAGGTTCACTTTCTAATCAGCCAATCAATGGACCTTCTGACAAAGAGGTTGACCCTGTCAGCAAGCTGACAATTAAGGCAAGGATGTCATCTTTTGGATGACTCCACGCCCTGCTACATCAGCATTACTTAAAGACCAGTTTAGCTCATATATACTGTTTCAGTTGAAACCATGAAAGCATCTTTCTGTGTGCGTTTGTTCCAGGTGTAGCACGTGGGAACGCCCCAGGACATCAGCCATGTTATACATCACTGTCAAGCCTAGTCATTAATGACTGGTAAACACATATCAAGGGGTTAAGCGGCTTTTTCATTTTTCAATAAGGAAAATATGTAACATAATTTGCTGACTGGCTACGATTAAATTAGACTGCTATATCACTACAAAAAGAGTATTCTAGTTTCTCGTCTAAACAAAACACCTTTTTTCCTGCTCTAATATGCATTACAGAAAAGTGCATATCTGTGGGAAGTATTCCATCCATTTGAAAAAGCAAATATATTTGTCATTTCATTTGTTGATATGCACTTAACAGGCAAAACTAACATAAAACTATTTACGATAAATTAGGAGAGAATCGTTTAACACTTCACGAGCCATTTCCAGCCAATCAGAGTGGGTAATTGCTTTTCATTGCTGAATATTAATTCTAATGGGACATGAATGTCATAATTTATGTCTGATGTGAGATTCGGGAGCTGTGTGTGTGTGAATATAGTCTTACCTCCAATAATGCACCTCGAGTCCCGGACACCCGTCGATGCACTTGAGACACCGCGGACCTCGAGGAGTGCGTGGGAATTTATTTGTACCCTGCAATATGAGAGAAAAGTTATTAACTCAAGAATTGGGGTTAAATCAAGTAATAACTGGTTAAAAATTCAAAATGAAATACACATGTTAGAGACTGGTCACAGGCTCTGAGATAAGCAGGTGACAAATTCAACACCACTAGTCAGTCACAGCTTCATGCCAGGGTTGAGGCAGTGAGACTAGCACATCGTGTTTGGCCAACCATTATATCTTGTCTGTTTCTCATCTCCATGACTAGCCCCTTGGAAAACACCCTAGCCTCAGCTTATGACGAGTTCCCCAAGGAACACCCTGGCCTTAGTATATGACTAGTCCCCGTAGGAACACCCTGACCTTAGTACATGTACATGACTAGTCCCCCTAGGAACACCCTGGCCTCAGTATATGCCTAGTCCCCCGAGAAACACCCTGGCCTTAGTATATGACTAGTCCCCCTAGGAACACCCTAGCCTTAGTATATTACTAGTCCCTCGATGAACACCCTGGCCTTAGTACATGACTAGTCTCTCGATGAACACCCTGGCCTTAGAATATGACTAGTTGCCCGAGGAACATCCTGGCCTCAGTATATGGCTAGTCCCCCGAGGAACAATCCTGACCTTAGTATATGACTAGTCCCTCGAGGAACAAGCTTGCCTCAAGTATATGGCTAGTCCCCCGAGGAACAACCTGGCCTTAGTATATGACTTGTCCCCCGAGGAACAACCTGGCCTTAGTATATGATTAGTACTCCAAGAAACACCCTAGACTTTGTATATGACTAGTCCCCCAAGGAACACCCTAACCTTAGCATATGACTAGTTCCCTGAAGAACATCCTGGCCTCAGTATATGACTAGTCCCCCGAGGAACACCCTGGCCTTAGTATATGACTAGTACCCCGTGTACCATCATAACCAATGTATATGACAAGTTCCCTGAGGAACACCCTGGCCTTAGTATATGACTAGTCCCCCTAGGAACACCCTGGCCTTAGTATATGACTAGTTCCCTAAGGAAAACTCTGGCCTTAGTACATGACCTGTATATGACCAGTTCCCTGAGGAATGCCTGGCCTTAGTACATGACCAGTTCCCTGAGGAATGCCCTGGCCTTAGTACACGACCAGTTCTCTGAGGAATGCCCTGGCCTAAGTACATGACCAGTTCCCTGAGGAATGCCCTGGCCTAAGTACATGACCAGTTTCCTGAGGAATGCCCTGGCCTTAGTACACGACCAGTTCCCTGAGGAATGCCCTGGCCTTAGTACATGACCAGTTCCCTGAGGAATGCCCTTGGCCTTAGTACATGACCAGTTCCCTGAGGAATGCCCTGGCCTAAGTACATGACCAGTTCCCTGAGGAATGCCCTGGCCTTAGTACACGACCAGTTCCCTAAGGAACACCCTGGCTTTAGTATATGACTAGTCCCCCGTGGAACATCATAGCCAACATATATGACCAGTTCCCCGAGGAACACCCTGGCCTCAGTATATGACTAATCCTCTGAGGAACACCCTAGCCTCAGTATATGACTAGTCCTCCTAGGAACACCCTGGCCTCAGTATATGACTAATCCTCTGAGGAACACCCTAGCCTCAGTATATGACTAGTCCCCCTAAGAACACCCTAGCCTCAGTATATGACTAGTCCTCCTAGGAACACCCTGGCCTCAGTATATGACTAAGCCCCACAGAACACCTCCAGCCCATTAGCACAACAGTCACTCATATAGGAAACTAGACCCATTGAATCAGGTCTCATTAACTTATTAAGATACGGCATGCTCGGAAGTCCTCAGGATGGATTAGATGCTCTTCAGTGCCACCCACATTACCCAACTGTGTCGCAAGGTTATGCTCCTAGTTAATGTATTTAGCAGTGTATTAATTAGTGTTGAGTTCTTTCTCTAATGATATGCATCAATTGGCTGTTGGTATGAACAGTGTAAAGCACAAATAAGTCCCCATTAACCTGCGCTTGTGTGGTCGCAACATTTGCCAAATATGGGTCAAACTTGGCAAGGTGACAGCAAGATATAAAAAATGTGACTTGTCTGAAGGTGTGTCTCCGTATCCTGGTAGTGGAGATTGTTGCTTATACTATTGACCATTAGTCTGTCCCATCTGATATGTCACAGCGCTATAACTAATACTTCACCATGATGTTTATGTAGTAGGGTGTTGTAAATGCAGTATCAAGTACTGATATCAAGTATTGATTAATTCACTGTGACACAATCAAACATGAAATAAAATTTGTTCAGATTGTTACTTCTAAAACAATTAAATTCATATGGACAACAATTATTATTATTTTTATCAATTTTCAATGGATCCTTAACACAACTACCAAATAATATTGTTAGTAGAAATCTAATAAAAAAAATATTACAAAAGAAATCATGACACTTCCTGTTGGAAAATTATAAAAGAAACATAAACAATTCATAATTAATTTATGAATGTAATTTTTGTCCCAAAATTACTACAATTCATGCAACATCTGCTAAGTTATTCTGAGAATTTCTGCTTAGATCTGCCACTTATCTGAGGACCAGAATTAACTGAACAAAGAATTATTATCATAATAAACAACATAACTAAACTATCTACAACAGTAAATTATCTGCTACTGGGCATTTGGAGGTGACAGAATCTTGTGCAGGGGTGGCACCAGTGTATACACTCCAGCGATGCTATCAGCTACCATTCCTCTCATAAAGGGATTATTTCCCAACATCTGGTGACACTCGATACAACAGCCATACCCCTTGGGAACTGGAGGCCCATAACGTCTATATTTATGTGTTCTTCCAATGAAATAATACCACTGGACCTCACCCTAGAATTATCTTAAAGGCTAATGTTTGATGGGGCTTGCTCCAGGCAATTGTCAGACAGTTGCCGAGAATTGTGACACTTGAAACGTGATTTCTATTGTTACATGTTTGTGATGATGAACAGCTTGTAAAACGTAAACATTTTGATATGGCATGTAAACTCCAATGCAACATTTACAGGATTGTCTATTAGCATGCCGTAAACAGAATGTGTTCTAAAACACTGCTACTTGATTGTAGCTGTGATAGAAGCATCCAAATAGAAACACAGATGCTGAAAGAGAAGATGTGTTAAAGATCCATGACAAAAACTCAGTCTTGTGCAACTTTGGACATAAGTATTTTTAGGGGAGTCATCGTTTTATCATTGCTCAGATTAATCAGAGCATATTTGCATGAACATGTTTACAATGCTTAGCAGTGCTTACAATATATCTTATTTGTTTGGGTACATGTTTATATACAGTTCATGCATCAAGATGAGGGAAGAGGATGGGGTTTTTCTCACTATGCATGTACAGCAGAACCTTATTCACTGGCCAATAAAAAAAGATAAAAAAGTGATTGACATCATGAGCATCGATCTACGCAATTTGATACGATGACATGCATCAACCAAGTCAGCGAGCCTACCAACCGTTCCCGTAAGTCGGCTCTTATAAGCATATTCGCTTTTTACGCCAAGGATGAGTCGCTGAAGACCTATTCTAACCCGGGTCTTGTCGGGTATTGGGTACATGGGTACATTGAGCATATATCAACATCACACATATAACATATAAGAGGTAAAATGATAAAGGTTTGAGTATTAGAGTTATGACAACATTTGAAGAGGTGATGACTTGACAGGGCTATATATTTCGATGGATAAGTTTGTTATTGGCAAACAAACCTTAAAGTCCGGTTCCATGCATAATTTAATATAAAATAACTTTTTTTTCAAATATGATCTTTAGATATTTACCAGCTGATTTATTACTGTCGTTTCAAGGTGATAAAAGGAATCCGATCCATAGTATGATGGACTTCCTTAATCGAGTTTGCTACCTTCTAATAGTCAATGTCCCTTCAGTAACTGACACTGTAAATCTGAAAAAAACCATCCATATGTTCCACTCAACATCCGCCTTGGTATCCATTATACAACAGAGGACCGAGTCAGTGAGTGACGTAAAGTTTATGTCACTTAGTTCAGTCATTGGTTAATGTTGGTGGAAATCTTGAAGTGACCAAGGTCATTGACATCTACAACTTTGATGAAACCCAAAAGCAGAAGTATGGCACTGGGAGACCTACGTCAAATAGGGGTGAATCGTCACTTCAAACCACCAACCAGTGCACACACATTTGTGGTGACTTTGTCACATGGGCCTCTAAAGGTGGTCAGGCTCTCTGATATGGCTGCTTGTGTGTTATGCTCGATGTGGATCGTTATTTGCGCTTTTAGACACGGTTTTCCACGTCCAAACTTGGTATGTAAAGAAGTGTAAACCAAATTCACCAACTCAGGTCCATCATGCTAATTTGTAAGAGGGGTGAGTGGATTGAGTTGGGTTAATATCACCTTGATAAGTATTTCAGTTACGTAATGGTGTGCCAACTTGATGTGGGAAGAAAGCCCACGTGATGCTGGTCTCAGACATTTCCATCCTTGTGAAAACAACAATCACAAGCATAGTACTGATAAACCCATAGCATAATCAGGGCCAATCTGTGAATCTGGCAACTCCACAAGGCTGTGATGCTCCCCCCCCCCCCCTCATCACTTAGTAGCAAGTGGTGTAATCAGAAGTTTTTATTGCATTCAAGAGCTCAGACACCTTCGTCAGAATCTACGAAGTGAAAGCTTGTCTTCCCTGCTTTATGAAAGCCATACAATGTATCTGTGATTATACAAGAAACATTCACATCCAGAAAAGCTGTAACTGAGTAAGCAGTCTGATAATCAAGAAGGAACATTTCTCATCAAAACATGTGTGACAGCACAAAACAGACATGCTCTGATCATTTTCACGATAATTCAGCAAAATTCCACACACCACAATGTAACATGCTGGTAGCGACAACTGAAAGTCAAGACAACAATATGCAGCAAAGAGTGTTTATTTTGGATGACAAAATACCGAGTAAACAGAACGCACACATCTTTGTGAAATGCATAACATGCTAAACACCCTACACT